AGGGACTCATTCTTGCGATTCTGATTCGAATTTTTGGAAAACCCAATGGGGAGATTATGCCATTTTTAGTCATGGATCCAATCACTCAGCAGGTGTCGCAATTTTCTTTAACAAGTTCAAAGGCAATGTTTTGGAGTCTTTTCGCTCAGATATTGGAAGATGGATTATACTGACTGTGAAACTGGACAATTCCACTTTAATAATTTGCAATGTCTATGGTTTTAATACTCGAGTTCACAATTTAGAAATGTTTAAGAAGATTTGTGATAACAGGTTTAAAGAAGAAGTATAAGGATGGATATGTAATTATTGGTGGTGATTTCAACGATGCTCCAGACGATTCTATTGACCGCTTTCCACCCAAACATAGTTCACGAATTTCAGATTTATTTGATTTTATAACTGACAAATTACAAATTTCTGATTTCTGATTTTCCGATCTATACTTACCCCTAGCAGCCAAGAAGAAGAAACATCCAGTTTTAGTTTATGAAATTTTAATTCAATAAAATATTTTTACATTTGATACCTTGTTTGTGGTCGTGGTGTTTCTGGGTAACTCCTCGAGGTGGTACGCCCATAGGGGTGGTCTGTAACAGGGGGGGCCATCCCGACCTGTGACATAGGAGTTTACCCATTAACAACTGTTGCCCTGCAGATAGAGAGAGCTGCTCTAGATGTAGATTCAGAAGGAGCAAGACTGGTTCTGATTTAACCGTTTTGTGAAAAATTGAACTTAGCTCCTGAGAAATATTCTTCCAATACCTGAGTATTAAGGGACACTGCCAAATACAATGATAGTAGGTCCCTACTTCTTTCTTACATTTCCTACAGAAGGGAGAAACTTGAGGGTTGATCTTGTTTAGAAAATGAGGAGTGCGCTGCAATCTGTGTAATATCCTGTACTACTGACTCTCTCTAAGTCTATTACACATAAACAGTTTCTTAACAGATTCAAATGCATCTAACCAGATATCAAGATCCATCTCCAAATCCTTCTCCCA